TGCAGTGTAGTAGTGAGGAGGAGCAGCTCCAGAATTGTAAGCCAACTTTTTCTGGTGTTTGCATGGATGCACAGCTTCTCTAAACTTTTTTTTAGAAACATATTTAAGGTTTTAAGAGCGACCACAATGAACACAAACTTTATTTTATAAAGATAGACTGAACATATAAAACCTTCTGCGGAAGGAAATCCAAAACTTGGAAAAGCTGCTTTTTTGTGTGTGTGTGAGACAGTCTTGGGCTGGGATACCACCGCTGCTGTTGCTGCTCGGGTGTCTGGGCTGAAGGGGGGAATCTCAGTGAGGCTTCACAGGATGGCAGAGTTCAAAAAGAGATGAAAAGAGGAGAGCAAAGGAGGTCTGTGTGCGGAACTTGAGAGCTGCAGAAGTGATTTGGTCCTGGGCTCTGTCTGCACACTCGGATTGGAGCTGACAATGAAGATGAACATGGTAAATGGGCTCAAATCTACTCTGTCAAGAGAATAAGACTATATGTTTTTTCTACTTTTTCTCTTTAAAATAATCGGAGATGATTCGTGTGAACATTTCAAATGTTAAAATAGCTATTTTACCACTAAGAGCTGAGAGAGAGTTTAAGGGGGGGTCGTTGCGTGGAAAAGGCGTACTTTAGGCAGCATTTACGCACAGTAAGTTCGCAGCGTTACAGGTCCACATCTGCAAAAGTTTGCCTATCCGGCTGCTGAAAACAAACCAACCAAACTTCCCCTGAGCAACAAAAGCTGCGGTCTATTTTGACTTGCAGACGCTCCTTGAGGGTTGCGTTTGCGGTACCGGTGTAATGCATGCGGGCTGGCTGCCAACTGTCTGGGTCAGAGTGGCCAAGTAGGTAGCGTTGTCTGTCTGTCTGTCTGGACCGCAGGAGCGCTACAGCTAAAGAAACATTTGCGAAAAGCCCTCCTTTCCAAAAAGGCTACCACCCGTGTTTGGAGTCCGGTCTCTTCCTCGGATCGTCACCGCTGTGTCACCTGGATCCGCTTGTGTGCTGCAGTTTGTAGTTTGCACATGCTGCTTTCAAGCGCGTCAGTGAGTAAAACTAATCTGCAGAAATATCAGCTTGCACAGCTGACATGTATGCGTCCGTTCCAGCGCGGGTTTTACACGTCATTTGTATTGTATTGCCACGTTTTTGTCACGGCGTATCAGCCATTAAACGGCCACCCGTGTATTTAAAGAGGTACTGGCACAAATGGAACCGACACCAGTGCTCCTCGTGGAAATCTGTAATATGGGGTGTTCAGCGTTGCCTTACGTTTTCATTCATTGATTACAAACCACAGATGGAGTCAAAGCTTGCCATCAAGCCTGCTATAGTTAGTTGCTCAGTATAAGCATATAAATGCAGATATTAAATAAGTACAAAGTTTTAGAATAGTCAGTAGCCAATTGATCTAGCACTTGACGACCAATAAATCAACTAACAGAGTGGGCTATCGTTGGGTAATCGCTGCTTAATTTTCTCCACAGCAGTGCAGATGGATTGGTCAAGACAAAGATACAGAGCTTCCTGTTTGCGTCTGATGGATTACAGTGTTTTGTATGAGCTGCTGACATGAATTCAGAGGCTGGTGAGATGTGGGAGTGCTCATCTTCAGGAGAAATCTGAGACCTGAATGAGCCTTCAAGCACGGTGAGAGCATTTTAATTGAAGGAGGCGCACCATGGACTTGTTGTGGTCTGCCATCAGACCCATTATGTCCTTTTAACCCATTTGTAGCACCCTCTACCCCTACCCCATGTCACATCTTTCCCTGAATTATGGAAATTTTGTGGAAGACGCTGACTTGGACACTGAGCCTGGTGGTGATGACTGCTTCTGAATTTCAAAGTATCAGCAAACTCTCACACAACTCCCAAGGTATGGTGGTGGTGACACATGGACAAAAAAAATTCTGCTGTACTCAACAGCTTATTTTCATAACATCTTATCATTTCTGTTCTATTCTCTTCTTTTCCTGGTAAAAGAGGAGTTCCTGTCCTACCTGCAGCACTACCAGTTGACTGTCCCGGTGCGGGTGGATGAGAATGGAGAATTCCTGAGCTACACTGTGAAGCACCACCGGCCAGGCCGACGGAGACGGGGGGCGGTGGATCCGATGATGGGAGCCCAGCCCGCGTTAGACCCACTGGAGCCCCGACTGTTCTACAGACTGTCAGCCTATGGAAAGCACTTTCACTTAAACCTGACTCTCAACCCCCACTTGGTGTCAAAACATTTTACAGTGGAGTACTGGGGTAAAGAAGGGCTGGAGTGGCGGCACAATATGGTAGATAACTGTCACTATATTGGATTCTTGCAAAATCAGCACAGTACAACTAGAGTGGCACTCAGCAACTGCAAAGGCCTGGTGAGTACAAAGTGCTACAAGGTTCACAACCCCCCCCCCCATGTTTATGTCAGATATAACTAGGTTGTGGTTCTGGTAGATTTTTGGTAGATTCGGCAGAATATTATCACAAGATTATTGCAGTTTGCTTAAGAGAATCTTGGCTTTTTTCCCGCATGGCGCACTGAGCCTGCAGGCAGCTTGGAGTGACTTGAGGTTTATGTTGAAAAAAATCACATCATCTCAGTGATCTGATTGTGATAACCATCAGTGCTTTTCTTCTCACTTGTGCGCTGGATGTCACACTTGAGTAGTTGAGATCACATTTCTTAAGCAGATCCTTGTGTGATCTTTGAATGATATGCCTATAAATGTGCAGGTTTCAGTTCAAAAACAAAACTGAGCAGCTCTAATAAGGCATCTAATTATCCTGTCTAAGCACAGACTGTGTGACTGTTCAGTACCTCTTAACTAATCACGGAATTGTGCCAAATTTTAAAAGCTGTTATCCCTCCATGCTCGAGAGTAACTCTAAAGAAGTTAAAAAAAGAAAAAGGCCCTGCTTCTTATTGGCAAATGTAATCATGTGGGGGAAACGCTTAGCCAAATGTGTTGGCAAGACATAGCACTGAGTATCATAAATTGAATTAGTGTTTGCCCTTTTTTTCTTACATCACCAAAAATGGACAAAACTGTGTCTGTACTTTAATGTAATCAGCTGTCTGGACATTTTGAGATCTTGACATCACACACTATTAAAACCCTACATCAAAAATGTTTCTGTAGGCTAGTGTGATATGTGGTTAATTGCTTTTATTGTGGGTTTTACAGAGCCAAGCCAGTGTTTCCTATAAACCCACTCTGAAGGACTTCTCCTAGGTTATGCTCCAGAGGGGGCATTGACAGGGGGAGAAGAATGTTTTAATGCTGGTCTGGATGTAACTGATTGTTTGGGGTTCTTAAATTTTACTGCAGATTAGTGACTAATGCATTGTATATGTGAAAACATGTCCCTAATGAGAAGCAAGAGGTCACATAAGGGGATGTATTAGTTGTTTAAAGGGACACTCCAAAATGACTATCTTGTTTTGTTTTGTTTTGTTTTTTTAATTAGCTGCCCAAATTCTGGATTGTACTTTTTTACAACTTGCTGCAAAGCAAAATCTGTTTTCACATGTTCCCCACCTGACATGTGCCCAGTATTTTCAGACTTTAAAAATTAGGGTTTGGAACACCTGCTATCCAGATTCAAACTGACGTGAATTTGTTATGATGTCAGCATGACAATCCGTCAGTCAGAAGTGGAAAACAATAGGGCTGTTGGAGGTGTGTAGGCTTTAGTTGTGATATGGCTTCCAATAATCATTGTGTTCAAACTGTCCACTGTAAATAAAAGATGGAACCAGGCACTATGACATCAGTGTCAAGCTTGAGTGTTGGCGTTTTAGCTGCTGTGTTCGTTCTTTGTAGTCAGAAACGACCAAATTTGGATGACTGGGTCTCCACCCAGTCCAAGTTATGAGCTAACGCTAGCTAGCTTGATTATCTATCTCCATTCATAACTGAAGCCCAAACATCTTGGACAGTGTGCACCTCACAGCAAGCTTTATTGTTTATCAGATAATTACAATATAATTTCATCATTAAAATTTCCCAAAAGCCACCAACACAGAACCTCCAAAGGTCCAATTCAGTGACTTGTCTTAAAAGAAGTAAGGCCTACAAAAGAGTGACGGGATATAGCAACGTAGACACTTGTCAATTAAGGTGGCCATGGCCATAATATAATAATTTATATTACAAAATGTCCCACCATAGACTTATTATGGTGGGAAACTATTCACAAAACCAAACCATTTTATGCACGTCACTTTTTGAGCCAGCCTCAAGTGGTCATTGGATGAAAAGCAGTTTTTGGCATTTAGTTGAGTTTTCCCTTGAGACATGGCTGCTTGGTTCAAACGATCTCCCTTGGATTTCAGAACTCACCAATAACTCTAATATAGCTTGAATGTTTGTTCTTTTTTTCGTATATATTCATAAAAGCAGATTTTGAAAATGTTCACCTGTTGAAACAAAGGATGCCTGAGTTTCCTTCATGTCCACCTGTCTGAGCACAGACAAGAGTAACAAGTGTCTAAACTAGGATTGCTCCTTTAATAAAATGATTATGAAATACAGTGCTATTTCTTAAGACTGTACTTTTAGTACCAATGTTTCCTGTTTTTAACCTGCTTTTTTCATTGATTTTCTTCCCCAACAAGCACGGTGTTATTACAACAGAGGAAGAACAGTATTTAATAGAGCCTTTAAAGAACATATCCTCAACCACCTCTGGTGAATGGAACCTGGAAGAAGCACAGCAGCATGTTATTTATAAAATGTCTGCCATTCCCTCACCACAAGAGCATAGCCAGGAGTTCAGCTGTGGCATTTCAGGTTGGTGAACCTCCATCTGGGTTGGACTCTGTGTGGGTGGAACTGACGTAAAGGAATAACTATACATAGCAAGTTAGAGGAAGTGCTGGTTTGGTTCTAGGCCCAGGTTCTGTTAGACATGACCGGGCCTCTTGTGTGCTATAGTTGCTCCTGGCCTGGACACCTTTCAACCTGTGACAGAAAGTCTTGCTCCAGCTTTCATATAACGCCCTTCAGTGCATAAAGAAGACTTTACACAAGAACAAATTCTATTTATAGGACCAATAATCATCTTGAGAATTAAAAATTCTCAGTTTCACCAATGCTCTGTTTGCTGAGATATGTTGAGTTAGAACCAAAAATAACCAGGTGGATATTTAGGTATTCGGCCAGGGTCTTATGAGAAAGAGCAAAGACTGTCATCACCAGGAAGCCAGCATGTCCTAACATGCAGCATCTTATAGCTTTTTCCCAGAGCATCTGCTGGGCCATAAAACAAAGACTTTAGCTGCTAGGTTCAAAGTGGCAGATTCCATATCTGCACCTATCACACACAAACCAGCTCTCTCTCAAACAGATAATGTGTCACGCTTCTGATTGTTACCTCACTCTTACCTGTCTTTGTCTCCCTGTCATTCACAGACCTCATTAAAACCAGTGCACCTTGCCAGCTTAGCACGCCTTCGCCCCAAAACTACAGCAAGCTGTCAAACAGCACCCACAGGCAGAAGCGATCCATCAGCACTGAGCGCTTTGTGGAGACGCTTGTGGTCGCTGATAAAATGATGGTCGGTTACCACGGACGCAAAGACATTGAGCACTACATCCTGTCCGTAATGAATATTGTAAGTTTGAGCCTACTTTTTCGGTCAAGTCTACACTCATGATTTCTCCATTGTTGCTCATGTTATTCGTGGACAGGCAGAGTAGTGTGGCACAGTTGTCTGACTTTGTGTCTTTTCTTCTTTTCTGGAGGTCAGGTTGCCAAACTTTACCGTGATGCCAGCCTAGGAAATGTTGTGAACATTATTGTGACCCGGCTGATTGTTCTGACTGAAGATCAGGTAAGAGAAAGTCTCTTTTTTTCTGTTTTAAGCCACGTCTTCTAGTATCTATATCCTCACCTGTATTGAGTGTATAACTGTATAACGCAACTTCTGTGTAGAAAGGGTAGAGAGTAGAAAGACTCTTCACCATATGGACACCACTTCACATGAAAGCTGTGCTCAGGTATCTTCCCTCAGGGAGCTTCTATTGAGCATTTGTACATGTACTATACATGTGCATGTATGTGTGATGAGAGAAACAGAGGGTCTTCCTACCATCTGTTTTTCTGAAAGGGTTTAGCAACTCTTTTTGTAGCATCAGTTCCAAAAATGATGTCAAGTGGAATCAAACTTTAAATTATATGAAGCAGCACTAGTATATCAGTCATTATGAAAATTCACATTGCATGCAGAATGTTTTCTAATTATTTGGTGGGTAAGCTGACATCAGCACAGTTTAATTACTCTTTGCATGGAAGTAGAAGCATTTACCAAACTCCACTATAACGTCCCCAGTTGTCCTTCTACATTAGCTATTTTTCCTCCCTGTTTTCCAATAGTGCAAGTCCTCTGCTCCTCCTATGACTCATCTTTTTCTTCCTGCTGTAAATGGTTTTACCTTTACTACAACTGCATCGTCTCCTAAATCAAAGACAAAACCCATGTCTTCTGCAGAATCTGGTCCTCTAACATCCCTCTGATCCCCTAACAGTACTCCTCCAATAATTCATTCAGATAATCGTTCTACTTTGGCTCAGTGTTTAGAGCTGTCAATGCATGACAATAAATTCAGTGCCCTTTTTTTGTTTTGAGCTTTTTTTTTCTTTTTTTTTTTACATTTTTGTTTTGCGTGAATGCTATTTTTTGGACAGCAGGCAATAGGCCTCCAGGTTTCTGGGTATAAAGTCATGTGAAAAGAAAGTTTTTCACTGTCAAATCTCTATTGTGTTTGACACCCAGTGATGGATTGTGCATTATGGTCAAATGTCTCAGATTTGGGCTCATCTGTCCAAAGGACTGAGACCTGTAGAGTCTGAAATGTAGCTCTTGGGTTTTTTACAATTTCTCTGAGCATTGCACAATCTGATCTTAGGGTGAATTAGCTGGGATATCCACTGGGCTGATTGTGGTGTAATGTTAACATACAACAAAATACTCCAGGCCAGCAAACTGCCAATTGCCGCTAAATGAATGTAGGGCTTAAATGAAATATCAAAATTTGGAAGAACCTTTTGAACATGCCTGCTGGTAAAATACTGCCAACTATGGTAAATATTTTAGTTCAAATTTGCAGAGGATAATTACGAACCACACGTATCTAGCATCACCCAATATTTTTTGGTGCTGATGGAAATTGCGTTTTCTTCTATCACTTTGTTTTTCATGTCTGTTTTTTGCAGCCAAATCTGGAAATTAATCATCATGCTGACAAGTCTCTGGACAGTTTCTGTAAGTGGCAGAAGTCCATCCTGTCTCATCACAGCGATGGAAACAGTATTCCAGAGAATGGGATGGCTCATCATGACAATGCTGTCCTAATCACCCGGTAAGAGTTGGCTAACAGCTACAGAACAGGACAACATGTTGCTCACACACCATTATAATAGTCCAGTGTTGAAATACAATTTTTCAGTTCTTACTTTATTTGTAATTTTCTCATCTTGAGCAAATACAGGTTATTTTCTGTGGTGTGCCTTCAGCAAATGCCGACAGCTACAGCACTGGAAAATCCAAAAGTCCAGGTCTTGTGTGCACACTTTACCTGTAATAGCTCACGGGAATAAATGCCATCGTTTTGAAAGTAAAATGTGCTGTTACGGACGTAATGTACCTGTCATCCCGCAATTTATGTCATAAAATAACAAAACTCTGTCATTACCTGGAATAGACTTTATTGTTGCCAGAACTGTTTTGGCTACTTAACCTGGCAACTGATGTGTATACTCCTCCAGCTGCTTCTATCTAGAAGCAGGATGGGGTTCTGTGATTGACATTGCCAAAGGCAAAGTTTTTGATTCTCTAGTTTGCATAAAACAGCCTTTTTATCATTAATGCTAGCGTGTTGTCTGCCAGTTGATATCCTCCAGCTTCTTTGGCTGTTGGCTTTATTATTGGTTTTAGCTTCACTTTGCACAAACAGCAAAGGCTGCTTAATAGAGCCTGCCTGCAGTGGTCATGGAGTTTGCCTTTTTGGCCTTCCCTTTTTAGCAGGAAGCTGAGAAATGTTATTGTTTTCATAAACCAAAAAAATCATGGAAAGGGCTTTTAACTCACAAACTATTTTTTTTAAAAAACATTTCAGTTTGAGGGCATGAATTAACTTAGATACTTGGTTACAGATGAGCTCTAAGGAAGCTGACAGACCCAATGCTCTGACATATAAAAGGCCCATTAGGTTGTTATACCTGATGGTCATTGCAAACAAACATTGGTCTACAAATCTATCATCTGTCACAGTTTGTTCACAGCAAAATCCAAGTAATAAATACGATATTCACATTGTATTTCTTGGGGATTAGAATATTATATTCATCCATCCATTGATTCATCCATTCTCTATATTATAATATAGAGAATGGATGAATCGATGGATGGATGGGCTTGTTTAAATGAATTTGGTTTAGAAAAAAACACCACTTCTATAGCTGTGATGAAATTAGCCACAAACACTTTTCCTGCAGATCTTTGGTAACATGGATCAGTGTGAATGAATGATTGAAAGTTCTTGTTAGCATAAAACAAGGATGTCATTGTCCAGCCTTTGTTTTGAAATGGGTGGTGTCAAAACCTTTGAAAATTTGGGGGAATAAATCAAAAATGGATTAGAAAAGTCACAAGTAGGGTCACTTAAAAGAGAACAGAGAGAGAGAGAGAGAGAGAGAGAGAGGAGTGATTCAAAGACAAAGGAGTGAGGGTGGTAGGTGATGGTGGAGGTGGTGGGAGGGTAAAATTTAAGTTGCTGTGCTCTTGGTTTTAATAGATTAAAAGCTTTTGGTATGATTGTCTCATTAATTTGAATGCAATCCTGTAAAAATTTCCTTGGGCACTGTGGGTCTGAGTGTTCTGACCTCCTTTTTTTTTTTTTTTTTTGCTCTATTGTATTAACTGTGAAAGAGCCCACGGCATGTAACTAAAATATAACCTTTACCAATAGACTGTCAGGAACGAGTGGCGTTCATCAGGACAGATTGACCCAGATTTCTTGAAACATATTAGCAATATGTCTGCGCCTAAATATTAGACAACAGTTATTTGCAAACATTTAGCAATCTGTCTGCGAGTGATTGCAATCAGTCTGAGTCAGGCCACTGTTGTTTAGATACAGGTTACCTCCTACCAGGTAA